TCTTTAGTAGTGGAGCAGTTTAGGTGTGGAGACTAAAGCTAAGAACCTACAAGAAAGAAATAATCATCTGTGAAAGCCAAGAATGTATTTTTTGCCAGGCTTGCTGGCACACACCTGTAATCCTGGCAGAGGCAGAGGCAGAGGCAGGAGGATCACTGCAAGTTCAGCCAGGGCTAAATAGCTCAAGGCCAGCCTGAACTACATAGCAATACCCTGTCTCACACCCCCCCATGTCTTTTTTAGGAAAAAACTTCCTTTTTAAGACAGAGTTTGGGATTCTAGTACCCATTTTTTTCTCTTGTGGCCACACTGAATAATAAATTTCTTTTGTTTGTTTATGATTCTGGGGCTAGAACCACTCATGCTAAGCAAGTGCCCTACCACTGACCTATCTCCCAGCCCTAAGGGAAACTTGTTTATTCCCCATGTCTTGCTCCAGCCTCCCTAGCCACTGACGTAATTAACGTGCAGTTTGCAACAACAGATCTTTCAGGTGTTCTTCGTGTGTGCTGCCTTTTCCTTTTCTCTTTGTAATCAGGTGTCATAATTTCCTTCTCTACTCCCACTCTAGCCTCGTGCAGGTTTATTTTTCTGTTTTTTTGGTGGGACTGGTTTGAGACAGGGTCTCGCTGTGTAGTTCAGGCTGTCATTGAAGTATGTAGTGCGTGGTGGCCTCAAACTCACAGCAGTCCTCCTACCTCAGTGTCCTGAGTGCTGGGATTGTGTGTGTGTGTGTGCCGCTGTGCCCAGCTATAAGGTTTATTTTATAGAAGAAATGTGCTTTTATATCTTGTTTTGCTCTTGTATATTCTTTTGGTAATTGTCCACTTCTTTTTGTGACATGTCCCTTTATAGGAAATGATGCAAGTATATATTCTATAAAGTGTGGTTTTGCCAAAAAAGCCCAACAAACCCGCAAACTATGTAACTGGGTGGATTGAATGGGTCCGTGTTTGATGTTTCAGGTCGCCTGTAGTAGCAGTAAATGCGGCCATCGGTGTGCGTGAGGGTGGTCAGAACTGGCGACTCTCTTTTGTCGGTAACAAGTCTTTGTATCTCCTCAGTTCCTAAGTACCCTTCCTGAGTGCTACTTGCTCCCGGTTCTCTTTTTGTTTTAGATCACAGATTCTGCTGGCCATATTCTGTACTCCAAGGAGGACGCGTCCAAGGGGAAGTTCGCCTTTACCACCGAGGATTATGACATGTTCGAAGTGTGTTTTGAGAGCAAAGGTAAGTACTACAGTCCAAATGTTTTCTCTAGATTAAGCCTCTCTTCTCCAGCTTTGTAGTGTCCTATGCTATAGTTAGCATTTGATTTTCAGTTTCATTTTGGTTTTTGTTTATTATGGAGTCCTGATGCCTTGTAGCGTTTGGAACGTCTTTTAAAAGACTGTACAGGTGGAGTAAAAGACTGGCCAAGTAAAGCACAGAGGACTTGTAGGACATTGAAAATAGTCTGTGTGACCCTGTAATGATGGATGCACATCTCTGGGCATCTACCCAGCATCGCACTTGGAAGGTGCACCTGAAGTGAGCTAGGGGAGAGTGAAGGGTGGTGTGCGTTTATCACTGATAACGTACGCACCACCCTGGTAGGAGATGTTGGCTGTGGCAGAGGCTGTGCCTGTGCAGGGTCAGAGGAACTAAGACACCTCTGTACCTACCTCTCCGTTTTACTCGTCTGTTTACCGGGCAAATGCAGAAAGAGGTACAGTATTCCTGGAAGGGTCTTTTACAAAGGAGACCTGTTAGGCCTTGATGTCCGCTAAGGGAATCTGCTGCCTATGTAGTCTGGACCCAGACCAGCCAGAGGTCTGTGGTTTTGTGGTTTCAGTTGGGCTTGAAAACTGTTAATACTGTGCTCTCACAGAGAGATAATCAAAAGACTGTTGTTAAGAGAGTGCTGATCATTTGGATCAAGTAGGGCTGGAAGCCACTTGCGTTCCACAACTTTTTAAATGAGGAAGGAAAAGCCAAAATTTGCATTTCATCTCTTTGGGTAATGTCATAGTCTGGATTACACTTGGGATTTAGAAGAGATTGCTCTAGGTGCCGCATTTGGCTTGGCTTGGCTTAGTTTGGTTTGCTTTGGTTTGGTTTGGTTTTGGACACTTGTTTAATGTTCTGAAGACATCTGTGACTTCAGTCTGTTCCTAATCTTACATATGTAGCCTTAATTTTCTTGCTTTAAATTGATCTTTCTAGCCCAGAACAGTGGAAAACACCTGTAATCCCAGTGGCAGGCTAAGGTAGAATGATCACAGCAAGTTCCAGACAAGCCTGGGCTACACAGTGAGTTCAAACCAGTATGACCTACATAGAGAGACCCAGTCTCAGAAGGGAAAAGGAAAAGAGAAGGAAATTTACCTTTCTGGTCTACCCAAAAGAAGTTCTTCACTGTTTTGTTTTGGTTTTGGTCTGTTGAGGAAGGGTCTCACTATGTATTCAGGCTGGCCTTGAATTCACTATGTCACCCAGGCTAGTTTCGAACTTGTAGTGATCCCCTTGCCTCAGCCTTCTACCTCAGCCTCTCAAGTGCTAGGCTTAGGGGCATGCACCACTATGCCCAGCTCTTCACTGTCTTCTAAATATGCTGTACATAGTGAAGCCTTTGCCCATGCTTTGTCTTCTGTCTAAAATATTGTTCAAGTCCTACCTTGAACCGGCTGTTCCCTCTGTAGTGAAATCAGTCCACAAGTCATCTCTTCCTTCCTCTGCTCCATAGCTGGGATCATCTGAACCAGTTATTTTGGCTTAAATTTCACAGTGCTTTTGCTAGGCAAGAGTATTTCAAGACAAATTGTCCAGCCTGAGCAATTTAATAGACCCTGTCTCAAAATAAAACGTAAGGGGTTGGGGATATATAGCTCAGTGGTAGAGCACTTGAGCACTTGCCCAACATGAGGGAGGTCCTGGGTGTGATCTTCAGGACCACCAAAAAAATTTCTTATAATGCTTTGAATTTTCACTGTAGCAGTTATTTTAGATCTCACTGAATTATTTGCAAGTGACATTTGTGTGCTTAAAAGACTGCCGCACAGTTCTATTTTCCAGTGAGTTTTCAATGCATAGTAGGAGTAGTTTGGATCATTATGTGCTAGAAATTGAACCCAGAGCCTCCCACTTGCTAAACAAGAGGCTGAGCTCCATCCCCAACACCTCTTCTTTGTAAAAAAAAAAAAAAAAAAAAAAAGTATATATATTTATTGGCTGATGGATTGATTGAGACAAGATTTCCCTAAGTTGCCTAGATTGGCCTTGAACTTGCAGTTTTCCTGCCTCAGTCTTCAAAGTAGCTGGAATTACAGGCTCCTCCACCAGGCCTGGCCTTCAATTAGTAATTTTTGAATTGAATTTAGTCCATTTCAGAAAACTTCAATGCCTTTCAGGCAACAGAGGGTGCAGTACCATTCCCTGGCTTATGTTCTCAAGAATCCCTGTGCTTAACTGGTACTATATTTCCCAAAATTTCTGATTTTGTACTGGCAGTTTTTTATTTTATAAATAGGTGAAATCCAAGGAACTGAACCTGAGTGGTTTTCTTGGGGCTGTTTGAGTCTGCCTTTCTCCCCCTTGATGACTTAAGATTAGAATTACTTTTTTTTTTTTTTTTTGCCTTTTTGAGACAGGGTCTTGCTATGCTGTTCAGGCTGGCCTTGAGCTCACTTTGTAGCCCAGGCTGGTCTCAAACTCACAGCGATCCTCCTGCCTCAGCCTCCTGAGTGCTGAAATTACAGGCATGCGCCACCATACCCTGCTAAGATTAGAATTATTTTTGATCAAACCAAATCAGATTAATTTTTCTAATACAAGTGTTGCATTGCACTCCTATTACCCAAGTAGACATTTTTCTGCCAGATATGGTACATCCACCTGTAATACCAGCACTAAGGAGTCTGAGGATGGCTACAGACATAGAGAGTTCAAGGCCAGCCTGAACTACATAGTGAGGCACTATCTCAAAACAAAACACACACAAAACCAAATACACATTTTTCTAAGAAGCATTCCTGAGAATTATGCTGTCACTATAAAATTTTTTTCCTTTAGCTTTTTTAACTCTCATAAGAGCTTTATGGGAATAGCTCTATAGCATGTTGTTGGCCTTTGAACTAGACCTTACAGTGATCAAAATAATTGAATTAAAGTGGAATAGTTGATAAAAGCTATGTTTCCCAGCACTCAGGTTTATGGTAAGTAAAGCTAAGTTTAGTGTTTACCCAGTAATCCTAGTTGAACGTGGCCTCTCAATTTGACGGGGACCTCTCCTCAGATGTGGAAATGTGCATTTTCAGCCTGCGTGGGTGCCTGTTCCCTGCTGATCTGTGTGCTGCCCCGTTTCACATGGCTGGGGCCTCGGCGTTTTGTTTCCCTCCAGTGAGCCTGTGTTTCCTCTTCGATTCTGTGTTTCTGCAGTTGGCCGCAGTGTTCGTGTCCTGCCTGCTCAGAGATACTTGGCAGCAGCACATTCTCGCTGCTTTCCAGCACCCCGCACAGATAGACGCTTTGTCTGGAATGTTTGTGATTTTAGCCAGAGCCAGGAATTTTCCGCAGCTGAGCAGGGGGAGGAGTTGTGGCTGCTTCCCTCTATCGAGAAGATAGAGTTAGTGAAAGGAAGGGTGGGCGGATGAGTTCCCGGAATTTTAAATATTCTACACAATGAATCTTTTGATTTCTTTCTCAGGCACAGGGCGGATACCTGACCAACTCGTGATCCTAGACATGAAACATGGAGTAGAGGCGAAAAATTACGAAGAGGTATGTGCTACTGTGATAACCAGGGGAGACAGTGGAGTGCTCTGCCAAAGGGCGTGACGTTTCTGCTCAGCCGGCTGGCCTGTGCTTTGTTTCCTGAAGACTGGCTTTCTCATCAGTCACGTGATAGCCAGTGGTGATCTTATTGATACCAGAAGTTGTTAATAGCCTTGTATTGTAATTCTGGCTGTGCTGTCAGCTGGAGAACTGAACCAGCTGTCCTGTGCAAAGTCTGTCGGCATGGTGAGACCCAAAGCGTAGGTGCCTTCAGCTCTCTCAAGGCAGAAACTGGACACCAACAGAACGGGCAGCTAGGCATGGGCTCAGTGCTGTTCAGTCCTGAACAACTGTTGTGTTTTTGAGAAAGGGCAATATAAAGAAAAAGCTTTCAGTTAAAATAGTTCTGGACTTTAAAGACAAGGACAGGATGGAGGAAAAAGCTGCGAGAGGCTGGGGATGGTGCTACCGGATAGAGAGCGGGTGCTGACGGAGTATTACAGAGTAGCGCAAAATGGCATTAATTTCAGTGACCGTGACGTGGAGAAGCACAAGGGATAAGGAGAAGGGTGTGCTGGGAATCTCACCCAGAGCCTCCCACAGGCCAGACAGATGCTTTACCACTGAGCTGCACCCTAGCTGGAGCATTTTTCATCTCTATTTGAGAGACGTGGGAACAGCACAGAATGATTCTTCAAATAAAGAGCACCTTTGAAAAACCACAAGAACAATTGAAGGGTACAGAATAGATGTTTACAGAAAGATAAGAGTTTTTAACCCAGCCAGACAGTATCTGAGGGCATGAAGAAGAGGTGGGGTACAGGAAATGTAAACTTAATAGATGAAGGAAAGTTGTTGGAAGTGATTGAGGAGAATTTTCTAGGAAGGATGGAACAAGAGAAGTCGCTATGTGTGTGTTTGGTCAGGACTTCAGAAGGGAAATATCCTAAAATGGAAGAAGATTGGAAATGACTGGTTATTTCTGTGAGAGGAAGTAGTTAATATGGCAGTTACAGCTCTTTGAGTGTTTCCTCTTTTTCCTTGTTCAAGTATTTGATTGAATGAAACCAAACAGTTATTTGAAGGTAATAAATAAGAGCAAATGGTATAATACTGAATGGAGGACAATTCCTGGTAGAGACTTTGAATTTCTTGTTTCTCTAGGCTAGTTTAATTAAAAGAAATAAAGCGGGAGAGCATCTTTATGTGATAAATTTAAGGGTTTGAAAAATCTTTTTTTTTTTTTTTTTTTTGTCTTTTTGAGACAGGGTCTTGCTCTATGCAGTTCAGGCTGGCCTTGAGCTCACTTTGTAGCCCAGGCTGGCCTCACACTCGCAGTGATCCTCCTGCCTCAGCCTCCTGAGTGCTGGGATTATAGGGGTGCACCACCACCCCCGGCTCTGAAAAATCTTCTTAAACGCTCATGATGAGAAGAATCCCCCCACCCCCCCAGTACCGGGAATTGAACTCACGAGCTTGCGCTTGCCAGGCAGGCACTGTGCCACTGAGCTAAATCCCCAGCCCCGAGAAGAATCTTCATTACATTTAATTAAGGTGATATATGTTAAAGTGCTATTGTAAGATGTAAAACACTAAGAAAAATGTAGTTATATAAGGAGCAAGAATAAGTGAAATGATTTTAATTTTTCAGTTACTACTGCCATTCCTGACTAGGAGCTATTTTCGTTTTTTTTGTTTTTTTTTTTTTTTTTTTTGGTTTTTCTCTGGTACCGGGAACCGAACTCACGACCTTGCGCTTGCCAGGCGGGCGCTTTTGCCACTGAGCTAAATCCCCAGCCCCCGGAGCTATTTTCTAAGCAAGCACTCTTTGTACTCCTACTGCATGAGTTTTACCTGTTCTAACTTTGTTGTCCAGCACAGTTGGCTGTTATATAGGGATATTTATTAAGTAACAGGCACCAGTGCCCTGCTTGCCTTGAAACCTAGCATTTCCTCTCGAAAACAGGGCTTTACATAAAGAATGATTTGCACGCCACTGTCACATCATATTTTAGAGTCCTATGCTTCATGGAATTTTGGGCTTTGAGAAAGGGGCTTTATCTTTTCTGATCTTATGCTTAACCCAAGGGAGGGGAATCCCTGGCAGAAAGGAAACCACATTGCTTCCTTTGCTTGCTTCCTGCTTTGGATGTCTGGCACGTCCTAACCTTTCTTTACGCACATGATTACAACACAGCTCTAAGGTTCTGCTTCTTAACCATCACAAACTCCTCCCCACAACTTTCCTTAACGGCCCCACTCCCAGCCCCCAAACACCACACCAGACTGAGGCAGAGGAGGACAGGGTGTGACACAGGCCAGAGACAGTCCTTTCTCAGGCTATGGCTGGGTGCTCTTGAACCTTGCTTATAATTAACTGCTAGTTGTCCTTGGCCTAATAATGCTTGTGACAAGAACATGGATAATAGAGGCATTGTGTTCCCTGTTTAACTGCCAGAGAGTATCAAGGATATGTTGAGTTTTTCAGGCATTTCATTTTAGGTCCTTGAGATAATGGATTTATCCCCAAAGAATTTGGCATCAGCATTAGATTCAGAAAGGGAGAACATTTCTTTTAATTTTCTTCACATCCAACACATCTGTTCCTCCAACATGTGGACTCATAATTCTGAAGTCACGCGTGATCCTGTAAAATTCAGTAGTAATCAGTGTTGTAATATCCGGGCAGGGTACCACCTTACCTATCTAATGTTAGAGTATTTGGTTAGTTACCATGTGAAATTGCTGCATAAACACAGTACAAATGTGAGCTATTATGTGGAAGACAAAATGCTTGCCACATTATGGAGAAGCATAAAATCTCGTAGGTTGAATTCTTAAAGGAGGAAGAACGCTTATCCCCTCAGAAATAAAGCATTTTTTATTCCATGTGCTGAGTTGTTAGGACCCCTGACCATTTCTTGTTGCTGCCCCTCAGAAGGGCTCATCTTCCAGACTCAGTGTGTGAATCAAGCCATTTCTCTCTACTTTGAACTCTGGAAACAGAAGTAGCTTCTGCAGGCACTCACCGTCTGATTGCATTTGGAAGATGGAGGCAACGAGGTCCCACAGAGGGGCTCTCGGACACGTCCTCCGACCCCCGAGCTGTGCGGATGTCAGTCAGCATTTTCACCGCAAGTCCTGTTTTGTCTAGGGCATGGATTAGCCTGTCACTTGCTGTCAACAGAAAACACAGTGCTGATCGGAGCCTCAGCTGAAGACTTTCCAAAAGTTCTATTTTGCTGAATGCCCTCGGAAGGGAGAAACCCTACTTCCATACACTAGATCCACAATCCCTTTCTTGATGTGAGTTCAGTGAAAGAACATGAGTAAGGCGCCCGACACCTAGCGGTCAGTTCAGGGGATTTCAACTCCTTTTCTTCTACCCATTGTGAAAACTACCAGATGTCCATGACAGAATAAATGGGGTCTTTAAAAAATTTCCTGTAGCCCTAAGCTTGGCAGTATTATCTGGGCTTTCTGAACTTCCGTGAGTAGACGTGTGATTCATGTCCCACCTCTACCACCAGGCACAGGTGGATTTGTCCTTGGATGTCTTTCTGTTATCTCTACCTGGACTGTGTTAGACTGGATGGTCTTTACATTTCTTGCTGTGTGTTTGGGGTTCATGGAGGCCCTGGTGGAGAATAAACTAATTTGATTAAATTTAGCTTGCCTTGAGAATCTTCTCATATTTTTTGTTTGTTTGCTTTTGTGGTAGGGGATTGAACCCAGGGCCTTTGCACTAAAATACACCCTCAACCCTTTTTTTTCTTTCTCTTTTCTTTTTTTCTTTTTCTTCTTTTTAATTTCCTTTCTTTCCTTTTCTTTTTTCTTTGTTTTGTTTTTTTTTTTTTTTTTTTTTGAGATAGGGTCTCACTGTGTAGTGCAGGCTGGCCTTGAACTTACTATGTAGCCCAGGCCTAGAACTCACAGTGATCCTCCTGCCTCAGCCTCCCACAGTGCTAGAATTACAGGTATGTACCATCACACCTAGCCTCTCATGGATCTTGAGGAAAAGAATCTAGATTCTCTGGACTCTGGATTCTCACTTGTGTTTTAGGAAGCAATTTTTTTTGAGAGTTAGTACCTTTCCTTTGCAGTTATGTGTAACTGAACTCTTTACTCTTTGAATTTAGATCATTAGAGTGGTACATTTGGGTATGGTTTAGGGAAAGTTTGGTCTGCTGCTACTTTTCAGGTGTTGTGCAGGGCTCACCTGTGAGTGATAGGTGTTGTGGTGGAAAGGGCTTTCTCCTAGGTAGTGGGCCCCATGCAAATGAGTGCCGAGTGCAAATAAACGCAGTGTGCTCTTAACACGAGGAAGCACTTGCTTCAGGAGGCCAGCAGCAATACCTCCTACTGTGAGAAACTTGTCTTCTTTGAAAATAGTGGAACAGGTCAGTTAAAATTGATTGCTAATTGTGTGGCACAATCTAAGTGCTTTAGTGAAGAGGAAGTCAAAATGGACAGCCTGGGTTGGAGGCCCTTCATGGTTGCGGCCCAAAGGAGGGTTTGGTGCGGGAGTACGTATGCTTCTGGGAGTCAGGGACTCTGTCCCTGTGTTTCACAGCAGTGTTGCAGTGCGATGAACGCTTCGGCCACCCTGGAGAGGCAGCCAGGAGACCAGGGTGCTGCCAACCTTGGTCTGCCCCCTAATGGATTCAGTGATGTGGAATTTTGAGTTTCCTCTTTTGTAGGATGAGAGGCATGTCCCTTTTAGCTCTTACATCCTTTGAGTATTAGTGGCCACGTGCAACATTCCAGAGTAGTGTTGCCCCCTAGTGGAGATCCTGTGGAATATACCCTCATAGGTCCCACTTTATCAAGCTGTGGGCAAAGCCCGCCTCCAGCACCCATCCGTGGAAAAGAGAAGTAGGGTGGGAAAATACCAGTCTGCCTCTGTGAAATGTGTGATTTGGTGTTCTTTACAGGCACTCAGTCACATGCTCAGAAGAGCATAATCACAGTTAGTGGGGATTTTGATATTAAAGTTTTAACTTTTT